CCAAAAAGAGAGGACTAAGGGTAAATGATGATGACTGATGAACAAATCTCTCATGACACTGGCAGTTGGTAAATCTCTGGTTTATCCATCCTGCTAAACACACAGATGAAACACAAATAAGGGAGCTGCCAAAGGACTTGTATTTCTATCCATCAGTTTCTGAGAGTTACAAGGCTCTGCCACAAAGCACAGTCCTGTCTGGCAGGGCAGGATACCTCCCTCCTCCAGCATGTGACTGCTTAAGCTGATAAGCTAAATTCTCCATCAATCTGCTCTCTTCTCCTATCAGCATGCTCCTTCTTATTACATGAGCTCTTCAGCACAACTGACTTGCTCCCAGTGCTGAATATCTCAGACTGAGATCTGCTGTCCAGTGGATTGCATGAGACTTATACCAGGCCAGATTAATATACTGATTCCATTTAATCATAGTACATTTAATGATGTATTACTAAAATACAGAGTCAGACATCTTTTATACCTGCCTGGAGTTCAGCTTGAATATAATGCTACCAGCACCTACTGCATGCTTCCCCATAGCTCACTTTAAAGCACAGCAGCATTTTTGCAGGGGATGAGGGCCCGGTGTAAAAAGCAGGCTTTGGTTTTTAGTGTAAGGTCTGATTTAAAGTGCACTTGTGCCCAGACAATGGACATTAAAGTATTTACATATTCTTAATAAGCAGTAAAGAGCTTTAAAACACGTCACCCCTGACCTCTCTAGCTGCTTGTACTAAAAAGTAATTATTTCTTAAAGACCCTCACAAATAAACAACAAATAATCTAAAGTCTGTTTCAGTAAAGGTGCCCATACACCTTACGACCATCGCAAGACTTTTGTCTTGCGATGGTCGTATGCTTATTGAAATCTCGTACGATCTGTCCACCTTGGACAGGCAGATCGTACTTGCAATCATCGAAAGCCCGCCCCGCTGAGGGGCAGGCTTCCGATGACCGCAATACAGAACGGGCAGTGTGCGCGTGCGCACACCGGCCCGTTCCGCAGCTATCGGGCTAGCAGGCTAGAAACCCGCCGACAATCGTACGATTCTCGGCGGGGTTTCAAGCATGCTGGTTCGACAAAAGACGTGCGACCGTACAGTAGAAACGGTCGCATGCCTTCCATACACTGTACGATTCTCGTACGATCGCGGGATTTCCCGCGATTCCCGTATGAGAATCGTACAGTGTATGGGCACCTTAAGTTTCTAACAGCTTAGAAACACCTGCTGTGTATTTACATTAGACGGCTGACAGGCTGCCAAGTTTCTGCTGCATTAGAAAGCAATAGGAAACTTTAATTGCCTTTATTGTGCATTTCAGTGCCATTATGGTGAACTTTGAAGATTAATTTCTTCACAATGCCTAGAGCTACAAAGGTGAATTAGAACTTGTTTTAAAGTGTTTCTCTGACTTGTCTAGAATAGTTAAATACAGTCATGTGCAAAACCTGGGCACAGGATATCTTTACATCAGGATCATGCTCCAGATACCTGCAGCCTGTGCTTTGATCTCCTTATGCCCTGTCCACAAATGTTATGGGGCCTGTTTCCATCGTCCAACCCCTACGACATTACAGGACACAGTAGTTATGTAAAGGTCGGAGAATGGGACCACATCACTAAGAGAGGAACACAGACATCCAACACTCCTGGAAGTCTGATATGCTGGAAAGTCTGACTGAGACTGCAGCACTACAATGAGGCACAGGTAGGAGAAACCTTGGAGTTCTTGGAGAGGTGAGTATGACAGCTCTTCTAATGCAGGGGACTGGCATTATCATTTGAAGGGACTGATGGAGTCACATCAAGCTGGCTATACACATGAAAATCTGATTGTTCTTTCTCAATCTGGATTGTATTTTCCATTAAAATTACAAAGGAAATGACAGAACATCTGATAATTTTCTGAAACTTATTGCTTCCAATCAATTTATTTTAAATTACATTCACTCTTTTAATGTATGAACTCTTTCAGTCCATAAAAATTACTAAAATTTGCCGGTGGATCATATTTGTTAAAGGTAGAATGTCTTTGCTTTTTCAATCACTTTTAATCCTATAATTTATCCGAAGCTGGTTCAAAGTGGTTGACATGGCTGGAAAATTGCTAAGAGTATGGCAATCATTAGGGACAGTAAGGAGCAGGTAATAAATAACCCAGCAAAAAGAGAAAAAAGACATCCATACATACAATCTATAAATGCAATTAGCTGCTTCAACTGCAGAGCTTAACAGCCAGGAGTTGCTCTTAAAGGGGATAATATTAGATGGAGATCCCCTGCCTGCTGGGACAGCCTCAGTGTAAGAAGACAGAGTGCTTTCCTTAGCCACATAGCACTATACCGGCTCCTGCTTACAGTTCTTGGTGAACTGAAATCATACCAGAATAGTTCACATAAAGAAGCATACTGTATATATATTTTTGCTTGCAATGACATATTTCACCAGAAGGTGTTGATGTAGTAGAGATTCCAGGCAAAAAAAAAGGATTTTTGGTTAGTTAAAAAAAAGGGTTTGCTTTGCTATATATTTAAAGTGTCATTTTGCAGATGTCATTGTAGGAGTCATATCGAGTCAAATGCAGGCCGGAATATGAAAGTACCCAATTGCCTGCTAGACAATACCAATATTCCTCTTTACCATTTCATAAAATGATTATCTGTGCACACATACAGCCCAAAACAATGGCCTATGACTAATATTGTGTACAATTCAGCATCCTGGCAAATAGTGAGAATTACTGCATTTCCCCATGCTGAGTTTGTGCCATCAATAAACTTTTTTTCCCTTGGCAGTTGTTTAAACGGCATAGTATTAATATTTATCATATTTATGAAAATAAAATGAATCATCTTGTACTGCAAAAACATATTATTTATTGCTCTGTGTAAGAACAAGCAGGAAACAGCTGTACTGCATAAGATTTTATTTAATATACTGGGTATCTTTTAATGTTATAATGCATCTATTGTGCTTTTAACAATGTCGTATTAAACTGCACTGAACTGAAATTGTTTTTTTGTTTGAGAAAACAAAAGAAATGCACACTTCATAAAAGAAACAAATGTGCATTTTTTTTGTTTTCCATTGGAGCCAGTAAAGCATTGCAACCGGCATTAGTGTATTGTGGGTAAGGAGCACCGATCCAGTTTTCTACATATCGAGTACGAGTACCGATATTTTGCTTTCGGTACTCACCGAGATCGGTGCTTCCGCTGGCATGGAGCCAGTTTCCCGGACCACAGGAAGCCGGGTAGCGTGTAATGACATTCCCAGCCAATCAGCATCAAACCTGCTTCCCGGCTAATCAGGAAGCTGGGTGGCAAGTAATGACTCCTGGCTTCTTGATTGGCTGGGAAGACGGCATTTGCTTATTGGCTGGAAAGCTGGCTTCCCATCCAATCAACAAGGAGATGGCTGTTAGGCTGGGAGTTCCGGTATCGGGGAAGGTATAGGAGCATTTGGGCAAATACGAGTACTCACCCAAATATTCATATCAGCACCGATACCGATACTAGTATCGGTACCAGTGCATCCCTAATTCTAGGCGCAGTGCTTTGGCTACTGCAGACTCTTCCTACCATCCATGTCCGTACCTTGGTATGGACACATAGTAATATGGATGAGAGGAAGCATGAATGGATAGGTGTAACATGTAACATGGTCAGACAGGTAAATGGAGCCTTTAAAGTAGAACTCCTCTTTACATTTTTTTCTCAATTAATTGCTCAGTCTTAAAAATGCAGTTCTTCTTGCAATACCTTGTCTCCAGCACTGTGCCTCTCAGAAACTCTGCTCTACCACCAGTGGCGTCACAAGGAGGGGTGAAGGGGGTGCTATCCATACCAGGTGACACCATCAGAGGGAGTGACACCCCCTCTAAAACATCAGGCACTCAGTCATGGGCCTGGAGCCCGGTAGCTGCTTGAGAGAAGAGGGGACTCAGTGGCATACCTTATCCCGGATGAACATCCCCTCCTCTCCTTGTGTCTATCACCGAGGTGGCTGCCAGCAGTTAAGTGCGCGTGCCGTAATTCGTCGTTTGCACGTTTGCAAAATTAGGTTGTGCATATGCGTGATGTTGTTGCATTCTACTATTTCTACAATGTCTATAGATAATCTGTGATATATGCAGACACCCCTGGACCAACCATCCACAGTTAAAATAAATGATGATTCAGAATGGATTTTTCTCAGACATTTTCACTAAAAAAACAAGCTTGGTGCAAAACTTACTTGTTCAGACAAAACTATTTTTTTTTGTCTATGTCTATCCATTGGCTCTTCCTATCACCATCTTATGCCTATGGCTAAGGGGTGGAGCATCAGCTGAGTACAGTTACAAATGAAAGCATATTGCTGTCAAACCAACCATATTAACTTCATAAATTCAGCAATTAATACCTTCAGTAAATCCAGTGCATACTAAGAGAAACACAACCAAAGTTGAAACTCTTCAACAACTGCTAGATCACGTTTGGCAGAGCTCAACAAAAACAGTCTGCAGGTTTCTTTTTTTTTAACTGCATCAGCTCAGTGTAGATATGAATGAGAATTGCTGCATCCCATCGCATGGACATTTGCAAAGAGTGATCTCTCTTAAAATCCATTAATGCAAGTTGGCAAGTTATATGTATCTTATTTTTTAATGGTATATGCAGTTGGGAAGTTGGATTTCTCCTGTACAATGCTAGACAGTGCAGGAGAAGGTGGATGGCTTTCCCATCATTCATCATTTTCCTAAGCTCCTCCAGAAAGAGCAATGTGCTGGCAATCTAAAGATCTGTGGGAGCACTAGACATCTCTATTCACTAATATGGCTATCAAATGTGCCAACAGAATTGTTACCCTATTAAAGGAAGTGCATATCTAATGGCTAAATCTATGGGCATTTACAAAATGTTCCTGGGGTTAATTTGAAAAGCAGAGAACCCAACCTTACTGGTATGGTACTGGTACAATCATGTATGTAACATTATAGTTTGGCCATAGTTCTACTCTAAAATGCTATATGTAGGTAACAGGGTTAGCAGTACCTATTCATTTTTAAGCTGAACTGATGTAGATTTGTAGAAGGGAACATTGCACTAAAGCAGCTATGTGTCAAAAGACAAGAAACCTCACACTTACTGTACCCTATATCATGCTAGGCTTAGCGGTACTGTGTGAATTTCTGCTTGGCTGTGTTGCCAAGCACAGCACATAACATCTAAATATCACTGTACCCTGTTGTGATTCTTTGGCTGTCAGAGTCTGGCAATGCCTAATGGGATTTGTAGTTGCACCAAAGCTGGAGGGCTGGAGTAAGTGCTTTCCACAAGACTGATTATATTAATCAAAATGAGTCAACACACTCAACATGTGACACATTAGCTTGGTTGCATCCTTAAATAAAGATTAGTGCCTGCAATGTGAGATCAGTCCTCCAAGCAGATCCCTGCCCGCAATCAGTGAAATGACCTGTCAGGGAATTTGAAAGTACATGGCACTCGAGTGCGTGTACTGTATATAAACCACTGAGCTAAAAAAAAAATATTTTTGTTTTATCTGCATGCCAAAACATGGAAATAAGTGCCACAACATCCCAGCTTGACTCCATCACATAGAAGCTCATCAAACAGACAGACAAACAAATAAGCCAAAACCATCAAAACCCTTTGCATGGGGTCTGATGGCTTGTGGCTCAATGCAATGGGCCCTGCCTTCGATCACACACCAGGAGTGAGGTCCATGGTGTTCTTATCATTGCATCCCTGAAGGGATTCCAGAGTGCGGGACACCTGGCTGCCAAAATCTTCCCCACCATTCATGCACTCCCGCTGGAGGTGATGACGTAGCTCAGTGACATCATACTCGTAGCCGTCTAGGATGGGGGTCTCACGAATGCCAAGGGTTCCACCAGGGTGGGTCGATTGTCCACGGGCATTGCGAAGGCTTTCTCTGCCGTGGCCACCTCCAATTAGTACCGAGGGTATGTAATGGATCTCATTGGCTGCTTCTGCACTGGCACTCTTCTGTGGTTGGGGGGCGCGTCTCCTCTTGCACCATCGTCTCCTTGTATACAGGATAAGAAGCAGGCACAGGATGCAAAGCAGGAGGGCGATCATTCCACCCTAAAATAAAGAAAAAAAATTATACTGTAAATGACTATACCAAGCAGACCCTTAATGTACATTACAAATCAGATTACAAAACATTAGGGCTGGTACTGATTAAAATGTTCGTGTTCGATTAATCACATTTTTTTTTAATCGATTAATTTCGAGTGATTATAACGCACATACAGATCCAACTACATTGGCCTATACACATACAGCACAGCAATGAAGTAATAAAATTAACTATGATCACACTAATACAGCACGTTATTAATCTCACGTGCCCCACTCAATATGGCTGCCGCTTGAGTTTGGCAACTCAGAATAATAACGTGCTGGATTAGTGTGATCCTAGTTCATTTTATTACTTCATTGCTGTGCTGTATGTGTATAGGCCAATGCCTTGGCTGGCGCTCGTTCATTTTATTACTTCATTACTGATGTCTTCTGACTTGACTTTGGGTTGTTACAGGAACACAAGTAATCGAGGCATCTAAGATTTACTCATTTGCAGAACGTTTCTTGGGCAAACTCCCTGGCCCAAGTGGCTCCGTCGTCTAACAAAGGGAAGGGGGGAGGAGTCCGGTGACGCCACGGCATCTACGTCATCGGACTCTTCCCCCCTTCCCTTCGCTAGCCGACGGAGCCACTTGGGGGAGGAGTCCGGTGACGTCGATGTCTGTGACGTCACCGGATCTCCGACGGGACTCACGGAAGACCCGGAAGTCGGCGGAAAGGTGAGTACCGATCAAAAGAATTTGAATCGATAAAAAACATTTCCGCAGCCCTACAAAACATTATAAAAAATATATGAATGTTTAACCAACGACTCCATGCAACTACTCAAGAGGCCACTACACAAGAGGCATGTGAATCTTGGTGTGCTTTGTGTATTTTTTCCAGATGTGGGTAGTGATCCATTGTAAAACCTTCCCCCTGTGCAGGATTTCCTGTAATGAAGAGCAGTCAGTGCTGCTCTCTCTCCTTGCGCAGAGTGACTGGTCTTGTCTCCGCCCCTCCTGTAGTTTTCAGCAGGCAACCTGTAGTGGGTGGGGCCTGTTGTGTCCCTCTCACAGCTCAGCACTCTGCACAGACTATGTACAGCACACTGCTACTTTTTCAAGCTACTAAATGGGTTTACAAAGGCACTTTGTGCACACAAGGTGAATTTATATTCTTTATGGCTTTTGAATATTAGAGAATAGGAAGAAGCTGCAGTGATATATAGTAGAGTAGGGCAGCAAGGTGCACAAGATAAAGTTGAGGATTAAAATTAGAGGCACTCATAAGGCTGTATGCTTTGGTTGAATTTCAATGCAAAATCTTTATTCATTAAAACAGATTTTAGCTCTGATACAGAGGGTACTGTAAGACCCCCCTTCCTTCCTTTCTTCCTTTTTAGATGGCCATTATGCTAAAGAGCTGTCATCCAGAGCCATACCCCTAACCCTCCACAGTATAGACCAGGCACTTTCACTGTTGTGTGACTATAAGTCCCATTAGGCATTGTGAGACTCTGACAACCACAGCCATGACTCCTAGAGGCAAAGGCATGATGTGTTTTGCTATAGACTCTGCTCCACGCTAAGAAACTGATCTAATGGTGAATCCAACACCTCCTATCCATAGTCTCTGATGATGATTATTCTTGGCATACATGAGAACATCAGGGCTAGCCAAACCTCAGCCCTCCAGGTGCTGTGGAACTACAAGTCCCATAAGACAATGGCAGACTCTGACAGCCACAGGCATGACTTCCAGTGGCAAGAATCATTTGTTTTTTCCTACAGATGGGGTGCTGAGGTTGCCTACACCTGCTACATTGGAAGATATATATATGTGTGTGTGTGTGTGTGTGTGTGTGTGTGTGTGTATGTGTTATTTGCCAAAACTGATCTTCTGTATATCCATCGATCTGTGTGATTTTTTTATGACAGGTCCACTTTAAGAAACAACTAACTCCCAGTAAACAAAGTAGACAGACAATGGGAACAAACACAATAATGAATTTTTAAAGTCACGCTTTGCATAATACAAGCCCATGGAACATCTTTTGATATCCGGATAGAACGAGACTGAATAATAGAAGATCAAGTAAAGTCTGCTTGAATGAGAAATATTATCATATCACTTTATTTGTATATTTCATGTTAAATTAGTTCTCAGGAATAACCAGAAACCATTTTCCGTTGGGTTACCGGAGGATGTTTACATTAGATGAACAATGGTGGCATTTTGTGCTACAAGGAGAGGCAATGCCGGCATTATCTCAGAACAGTTCAGATTATTTTACCGTTCATCATATTTCTTTGCCTTCCCTTTAAAATGAGAACGCAAGTCTGGGCATGAACACCTAAAAATCAATTTTGTAGAAAAAAAAAATAGAAAAAAATGTATGTTTTCTAGAGTTCAGCTAAATGACAAGCGGCTGTGTGCACCCGAACAAGGTATTAGCTCCCATTTATATAGCCAGCAGAACAAAATATCCAATCTTATTAAGCTGTTCACATGAATGCGGCAGCAAATTGTGCACACATAATTTACCACTGCTGTAAATATGAGAAGTTACAGGCACAGTATGGCAGCAGTATTGTTATAGAGGACGTCTGAAAAGAAGCAACTGGAATAAGATAAAGGTTGACAACAAGGTACAAAATAGGAATGTGGCCTAGATAGGACAGGGGGGTCTCATTGTTAGTCTCTGCATGGTTAAAGCTGAACTCCCGGCAAGAATACTTTTATTTAAATATGTCACTCAATACCCACAATACCCACAAATAATATAAATACAGTTTGTGAGCCCCAAATACCTTGTAAAAATAGATGTGATATCATCACTGTGCAAATCATAGCCTGTGCAGAGGACAGAGCGGGACTCAGCAGGCTCCACCCACTACCTAACTCCAGGAGGGGGCGGAAACAAGAGCAGTCATCAAGTAGAGAGAGCAGCAGTGACCGGTCTTTATTATAGGAAGCTCATGCACAGTAGACATGTGCTATTCGTTTCGTTCTGAATTAAAATTCGGACACATTTTCTGAAATTCAGACATTCAGACACATCTGAATTTTTGAATCCCATCTGAATAGGACAAGTGAATTACTGAATCGGACATGTGACTTTTTCTGGCCAATTTCGGTTTAATACATTCCAATGGGTCTGAACACGAATTTTCGTTGTGGAGCCATACACAGTGTTTACATATAATATTAAAGCTGAGGCTCCCAGACCCGAATGGCATTCGGGAGCTCCCGAATGCAATTCAGAAATTCGGATCCCGAAATGCCATTTGGGTCTAGGTAATTTAGCTTTAGTATTAATATCTGTATATGGTTTTCTGTGTTATTCGCAATGAATATTCGTAAACTCATCCGAAACTAACGATAATTTAGATTTCGTCCGAACTTGAAACCCGAACCAAATTGAATTTCGGATCCGAATCCCAAAATGGCTAAATTTTTCCTCAGCTTCCATGTCTACGACACAGAGGAAAAGTGTCACATTGGAATACTGCACATAACTGGAAGAAATACCCAAAGCTCACCAAGATTCAAGTAAGAATACACATGATTCTTGTATTTAGGAGGGGCCGGGTACAAGACCAGTCACCCTGCACAAAGAAAGAGAGCAGCAGTAACCCAACGTCATTACAGGAAGTTCCTGCGTAGAGGCAAAATTTCACATTGGATTACAGCACAGATCTGAAGTAAATACACAAAGCACACCAAGGGGTTAATTTATAAAGTTATAGTTAGCTATACACTGGGCAGATGCCATTTGCGCAACAATAGCACACCTATATGGCGTCAATGAGTATAGGAATTTCTCCGTCCATCATGTCATGTGAACTACAGGCAGAAATTTTAGACCTGAACCCCCAAGAGTCAAGTAGAAATACACTGGGGTTCAGCTTTAGAGTGTATTTAAGAACAAAAATGTAATATACCGCAGATTAACAGTCCATAGTTGTGAAGAGACTGAGTAAGTTTTCTTTTTGATGCTTTTTTCCCTTGATTTTCAGCCTGTAAGCTTGCCAGGAAAACATTTCCTTTCCTAGGGTGACAACACTCACCATACTAAATACGTGGAGCAGCAGGAAGTGTGTTAGTCTTGTGCATTCTGCAGTGTTATTTCAAACAATGGACAAAAGTGTTGTTAGAACTAAAGAACAACTCCCCCTCTCATCAGCCTTATAATTTAGTGTGTGCGTTCTGCAGTTCTAACACTCTACCTTTCATTGTTTGAAATAACACTGCAGAATGTGTAGGACACATCGCAGTGCTGAATTCCTGGCAGAATCAACAGGTAATTTTTGGACTTATCGACCGGCTATAACAAAACACTTTCAAAGGTGTGTTTAACATACAAAAAGGGTAAAAATACGAGAAGTTCATTGTTAGAGTTTATATATGCTTTGATAAGTGATAGTAGTTTAAAGAGAAGAGTGATTGTGTAAAGCAGGGGTAGCCAAACTCCGGCCCTCCAGTTGTGGTGGAACTACAAATCCCATGAGGCATTGCAAGATTCTCACAGCCACAGACTTGAGAGATGCATCATGGGATTTGTAGTTTCACCACAGCTGGAGGGACAGAGTTTGGCTACCCCTGGTGTAAAGCATCTATTTCCAGGTTTTCTAGTTCACCAGTAAATTCATCCAATCCTTTATTAAACCCCTTGAAAATGAAAGATTAACGTTCACTGTCTCAGAAGAATCAGGTTTTCATGCTATCACTAAGTGCAACTAATCCCATACAAGTGTTTTAATTTTTCCTTCATGTTGGTGGCACCTCAAACAGAACATGCCTAATGTGCCCTCTCCCCCATTTTAGCCACGGAGCTCAGCCATGTCGTCTTTGAGGGCTTGTTCACACCGTGTCCAGACCAGAACAGTTTGTTCCCGGACCAAAAACACATCCCAATGTATCCCTATGGTATTTCTTGGCTCTGTTCACACCAGCGCAGTCCGTTCCAGTCCAGACAAAAAAATACTGCTTGTCTCATTTTCTCTGGTCTGGAA